TTTTCCTACTAGTACTACCTAAACCACTAGTACTACTAGTACTACGACGACGACGACGACGACTACTACTACTACTACTCTACTGCTACTACTACTACTACTACCACTACTACCACTACTACTCCTACTACTCCTACTACTCCTACTACTCCTGCTACTCCTACTACTGCTGCTGCTACTGTTGCTGTTATTACCACTGCTGCGACTACTGCGACTGCTGCTGCTGCTGCTGCTACCTCTGCTCTTGCTATTGCTACTGCTGCTCCTCCTCCGCCTTCCTACTGCTGCTGCTGCTGCTGCTGCTGCTGCTGCTACCACCGCTAAGACTGCTGCTACCGCTGCTGCTGCTGCTGCTACTACTACTACTACCACCGCCACCAGTACTGCGACTACGACAACGACGACGACCGCTGCTACGACTACTCCTACTCCGACTCTTACTCCTAGTCTGTAGCAGTTCAAAACCTAGATACCTTTGTAACCAATTCCTCCTTCTCCTACTAAACGTGGCTGCAAAGGTGCCAGAAGGCAAGTTCAGACAGCCATGAGACGACGCGGGCGCTGCTTTTTCCTTCTGATATACACAAAGTGAGCAGTCCTAAGCGCATCTCTGTACAGCTTAGGCTTGGTTGAATTGCTCAGTGCATGCTGGCTTCTGCCGATCTGCGACTGCTGGCTTCTGCCGATCATGCCCTCCGGGCTGGCTTCTGCCGATTGCTTCTCTTTGAGCCATCCGCTCACGCAGCACAGTAATCAAGACTCCCAGCAATGAAGCCGGTGCCACCAGCTTCCCTTTACATAGGAGAGGGCTCTGGGAATCAACATAGTCCTACTTCTTGTCCCGGTTCTGCTCCTACTCCTACTCCCACTCCAACTGCTGCTACTCCTCCTCCCTGCTTTTGCTCCTGCTCCTGCTCCTGCTCCTCCTCCTCCTCCTGCCCCCCTCCTGCCCTGCTGCTGCTGCTACTGCTGATTCTAGTACTACATCTGCGTCATCGTCGTCATCAGCATCAACGTCACACTACCAGAGCTAATAGAAACACGAGCGACGCACAACGAATCTGGAGCCTTCCCTAGCACCTTGCGATGTTTTGTGCAGCCGATCGACTTGGAGTTTGCTTCGCAAGGTTCTTGGTGCTCGACTTCTACAACAGTTGGCTCGGAGCCCCAGAGCGTTTCGGGTATTTTCGGGTTCAGGGCGTTGAGCAGTTTTCTTGCGTTGGTAGCAGCAGCTGCCTCTTCGGTGTGGTGGACTCATTTGCATCAGAGTTCTGGACAACGCAATGTGCTACAAGTGTGACCTGGTGTGATATTTCATCAAGAAGCTTGGTCCGGGTCTTGATTTTGTTTTGGCAGGGTTTTAAGACCTGCCAAGGACGGTCATGCTTACCATGAACCTGCGAAGCTGCACCGAAGTGGAGGCCGAAAGAGCATGGGGAGACAATGCGCAGGGCTATGCCGTGTTGGACTTTCGAGTAGGGCCAGATGGGACTCGGAACGAAGGCTTCTCCAAAGTATGCGGTGCTCCAATTTTCTTCACGGCTGGACTTGGTGAAAGTGATTCGTTCGTGAGGCGCAGATATGTGGACACTTCCTCAATGCGTCTCAGTTGCAGGGTCAGCATCTGCCCGAAACAATGGAACTCAGAATCCCATCGTGCCTCAGGATCGATGTCTCAAGCTGATGTGAGAAAACAGCCGCAATGCCGCCTCTCCCAAGTTCCCAAGCTCCAAGTTCGCCTAAGCCAAGGAGATGATGTCCTACATTCACGGCTTGCGGACCGGCTCTCAGAAGCTTGCGGGCTTTGACTTGCTGTAGGCTGGCTGGTCACTGCCACCAGGGTGGAGTAAGTACGAAGCGACAAGCTTCGCGACCGTGGGGCTGGCTACTTCAGCAAAAGCGATGACTATAGAGTAGAGGAATAGACCTGCCGCTTGAAAAAACTTGGGCTGCAATCAGCTGCAGCAACAGCGACGGCAGCAGCGGCAACAGCAAGGTGCAGCAACGACAGCAACAGTTTGGCAGTATTACATGACGACATGCGTTGCCATCTCAGCGAAACTCAATAAGCAGCACAACCTCTCGCTGCCCTCGCCCATGCCGCATTTCGGGTATCGGGACGGCAGCTTGAAATGCAAACCACATCGACAGGGCCAACCAGCACGCGAACTAACAAAGTGGGAGTCCTGCGTACGGCACCCTCCAAAAGGAGGGAGATCGAGCATGTATGATGGGCATCGTTGTCGTGCCAGTTGGCTAAGCCTAGCCTCAAGAGAACGCGAACAACGTCGTAACCCGCATCTAACACACCAGGCAGCGCTGTCATGACAACCCAGGGTCCAAGCATGATGTGGGTGTGTTACCAGCAAGATTTGCACAACCACGCATTTTGTTGCAGGTTTCGGCACAAAAAAGCGCGGTGATGCCAAGAGGGTGACATCTACAATGGTTCGGACTCGCGGTATCAGGTGTTTTGGAACAGAGAGCAATCTGTTGTCGGTCCACCGGTTTATGTCGCCCCAAGTACTATAAGTGGCCAGTCTACTAAGCTGAGCCACTTGTCTCTTTCTTCTGCAGCTGAATCAGCACGGAAGGTAGCCGCGTCGCGCAATCCATGTCACCCCCAAACTGGCGGCGAAACGCATCAAGACAAAGATGGGAACTCACCCAAGCGGGACTAACCCGTCCATCAGAGTGCACTGCAAGCTTTAGCCGGAGATCAGTGTGTAAAGTGCGAGTCTTCAGACACTCCGCATATCCATCTCAGTCAATCGAGCTTTCCTCTTCTCTATTGGGAAGGGCATCTGCGCAGCCAGCATTTTACTGTCTCACAATCAGTCTCTCTGCTTTCCGCCCCATCGATGGCACGATCAGGAAAAGCGAAAAGGCATTCGAAGCTGAGATGAAGCATCCCTGGCATGTTGGAGTGATGGAAGGTGTTAGCACGGGGCTTGCGAGCTGCAGTGAGGTGGTCATTATTTGACCCCTGTTCCCGTGTTGATGTGGCCTTGGCACGGGGATTTGGAAGCTCTGCATGGCCCCAGGGACAATCCTTGCTTCCACCGCCATCACTACGGCGGCACAGAGGCTGACAGCTCCGTGGCACCCGAGCTTCGCCCTCAGCAAAAGTCTTCATGAACTGGCAGTTGCCAAGCTTGATACTTCGTGGTCCCCTCTGGGTGGGGTGAGGTATGCGAAGCATGCCGACATCGTCAGAGGTCACAACAAGTGGGAGGTTGGCCTTGCCTTGTGCTGGAGATGCGGGGAACTAGGAGGTAAGCTTCTCGCCTAACAGGACTTCTGCTCTGCTCCGAAACCGCATGGCTTGTGTGTGGGAGCTGCGTGATCTGTTTATCAGCGGTGTCAACTTCAGTCAACCTCGCACCAAGGAAGCTTGAACTGTTTCCAATGCCAGGGCAAGATCCTCAAAGCCTTGCGCCAAAATCTGGAATCCGAGGATGTGCTGCGTGCTTTCCATTCTGCGGAGTAGACGATTATATCCACGACTCAGCCCTGAGATTGAAGTGCATCTTACTCCTTAAGGCTCGAACGCAGCATTGCGAGAGTGTGATCTCAAGAGTGCGAGGAATGGACGGACAAGCGCAATGCTCTTCTCCTCCTCAGCAAGTCCTGCGAGACTTATCCGATAGTGGAGAAGTGCTCCAAGTGCAAGCAAAAGCGATGTGCACAGCGTGTGAGTCTCAATTTGGATTCTTACCTGGACGTGCGACTGCTCAAGGTACGCGAGGACGGTGCTGCAGTGTGTTGAGAACGTTCGCGAAAGAGAGGCCGCCATTGTCAAGTCTCCCCTGCAGCCGGTGGGTAGCCCGCGAAGTAGGGGCTGAGGAGGTAACCTGTGTTGGAAGCAGTCACTTTGTAGCTGCATTCGTTTCAAACTTGCCGCGCAGAAAGCGAGCGATTTGAAGACGCTGGCGGCCTCGCTTGCCACCAAGCTGCAGCACACTCAGTTGCTTAAATTGCGCAGAAGCCTCGTTTGCCGTCTGCACCACACCCATCGATGTGGCAGATAAACCCAAGCTGATGTGCCGCAAAAGTCTTTCAATTGCCGTTCCAGGAAAGCCCAGAGCAAGAACTGGACTCGCTGCCATGGTTGCTCAACTTTCAGGTCAAATCATGCTGACATCACGGGGCCTCGTAGCAGCAATACAGGCTGGCGTCATGTCGAAACCAAGGATTTCTGTGGATGTCCACGCCAGTCAGTGGCGTCGGGCATGTTCTTCTGAAGTGAGTTGTCTATATTATTTATAGTCCATAATATATATATATAACTATAACTCTCTCTCTCTCTCTCTCTCTCTCTCTCTCTCTCTCACTCTCACTGTATATATATATATACACACATATGCACATGTGTGTATCTATGTATGTACGTACGTACGTACACATGTATGAATCTATGCAGGAGCTGAGGGAGGGAAGGGAAGGGAGGGAGGGAGGGGATGCCGCCAAGCTGTCAGGAAATGCAGTCATGTCATGTACTGTACCTGCAGCAATGGCATAACAGGTGCATGTATACGCCGTAACCGTTTCCGTCTCAAGTGGTTTTAAGACACTACTGAATGTCCGCGTACAAGGGCAAGCCTTTAGATCTTCAGGGATCATGCCTGCACCCATATCCTTTACCGAAGGGGGGATATTTGGAGGCAAGGGGCGGGGAGGGGAGGGAGGGGCGGAGGTGGGTGGGAAGGAGAGGGAGAGTGGAAGGGGAGCGGGAGAGGGAGAGGGAGAGGGAGAGGGAGAGGGAGAGGGAGAGGAGGGGATGTGTGTGTGCGTGCATGTACATCTGTGTCTTTCATGTGTATGTATGGTAGGTGTGTATGTCTGCATGTTACGTCATGTAAGTAAGTAAGTAAGTAAGTAAGTCAGTAAGTAAGTAAGTAAGTAAGTAAGTAAGTAAGTAAGTAAGTAAGTAAGTAAGTAAGTAGTAAGTAAGTACGTAAGTACGCACGTCTGTGTGTGTGTGTAGGTAGGTAGGTAGGTAGG